TATAACTTGATTTAGATAGTTCTACATTAACTAACAATAAATAATTAAATCAAATGTCGTACGAAGATGTCGGTAGGGACAAAAAAGTTTAGGGGGTTATTACGAATGCATTCAATGGAATTGTTATACACTCGATTCCAAGCCACATGCTCTGGATGTAAAAATATTTTGTCCCGATATAATAAAGTCCACATTTTTTATGTAAAAATCTCCAATTGATACTTGATCAGGACTATTCAAATTAGTTAAAGGACGATTCACACGATCTTAAAACGGCTCTTGTCGTTAGAAGTTCTTTAAAATTTTACATGGCTGAATCTTGTTAGCTTAAATATGATGACGCGAATCAGCTTAAAAAATCATGCATAAGGCAAGTATAGCAACCAACGGTACGATACAAGGTGTACGAGTATGTTGAATGGAAGATCACGAACTCCGTTCAGTACGGACATAAACTAGTGCAAAATACTCTCGAAGTCATAAAGGTGAGCTCAAGTCAGCCCGAAATACTGGCAAGCGAGACAATAAATAACTTAGAAACGAAGTTCTTCATCCGTAAGCCGGCAAGTCAGTGCAATGTTGATCGTCGTAGTAACGATAGACATTTTGCGATGAAGGATTTCCGCAACAACAGTTCCGTATGCTTTGGTCTCGTGTACGAGAAAAGAAATCGCATTTCGCCACTGCATAACTAAGAAATTTTACATGGTGATTACAATTGACATAAATACCTCTCACCACATAATCCACGGCTTGCTGCACCTTTTGAAGGGATCCGATACTCTTCTATGATGTCACACTTGCAAGCTAGGATTGCCACAACCAATAATGTAATAATACAGGATACCATACAGCAACCATTTGCATAGATAACATACAATCGCTGAGTTCACACTCCTAATGTTCGGGTATTCTCACAAATTTGGAAATTAAGCTCACGAACACGGAGCCCTTGGCCTCTACAGCTTGATCGCCATCGATAACGGAAAACATATGTGGTGTAGAAATTGTTGGCGATCTGTCCCTTCAATTAGCTGGTTGTGAAAGTAAACACTCGTCACGCTAATACTCTTCGAGTTACGTCTCGTTAAGTTCAAGCTCGTCGAGATTAAATACGTCGAAATAAGACTCATCGGGATGAGACTCGTCGAGATGAAACACGTCGAGATAGGACTCGTTCATTTCAAGCTCATTGAGAGTAAAATCGCCTAGATAAGACTTGTCAAGATGAACTGTCGAGTTCAGACTCGTCGAGTTTCAAATCCAGCGAAGCAGCTAGACGATTGACCGTTCAAGTCACTAGGTAATTGTACGGGAGTAGTAAGGGGGAGAAAGGGAGCCCCCTGATAGGCTACTTCTAGCAGAAAAAGGGATTATTAAATGTAGAGTAAATTTTTCCGAGTCTTATTAAAGCGTAAAATCTTCCGATCAGTCCCTGCGTGTGTTGGTTTATGCTTGCTGTCGAACCTAGAGAGGCATAGCTTGTAGAGGTTTCAACTGGAAGCTCCGAGCGTTTAAGCTGGCCCGGGGTAAGCAATACTCGCTTTCGAAGCAAGAAAGAGCCTCGTCGACGACAAGCCGGACAACCCAATAGATGGTACCGCTTAAGCCTCGTCGAGCGGCAAGCCAGTGACCCAGTGTACGGCACTGCACCAGACTCGTCGAGTGATGAGCCGGTGGGTCTTTAATCAAGGCACTGTGAATCTTCTAGTCGAGCCTACGTTGTGCTCGGTGACCTGTAAAAGCGTAAAAATGCCAACATCTATCCATAGGTGTCGAGCCACACTAGTGTAAGATTTAAAAGATACTGAGCTCAGGCCGTCTTCTGGAGGAATGTGTTGCAAGGAAACCGCAAGCCGAAAGCCACAACTAAACCCGAAAGGACGAACAGCAAAAGGGTTTCTATCCTAACTCGCCTGCTCATTTCTCCGAACCAACTCGGCGGTTGTTGTGTTTGTGCGTTCAATGCTATCTTGCTAAAATTTTAGTAAATTTCGATTGCACGTACCTACCGTTCATAGAAAGCGTGTGATCGGAAAAGGAGGATAACCAAATTATGATCAGGACTTAGTTGTTCGAGGTACCACACTATACGCTGCAGTGTATTGCGACCCCGTTAAAAAAATGCTAGGATAGGGGTATTATTGGACAATTTCGTTCTCATAAATACATCACATTTGACTACTTTCTTTTGCAGTGCAGTGTGTAACGAGCACATCTTATATACTTATCTACGTGAAACTTTCACTGCTGACAGTGCAAAATTGTGTGCTTCTGACCACCTCACGTACACGTATGTGTAGAGGAAGATTGCTTGACGGAGCAAAAGAGTACTTAGTAAAGACAAAAAAAAGCTGTATGTAGTCCCGTTTATCCTTTTTACTAACCCCTATTTGGCTTCATTTAACGTGTATTGTAACTACCAACATGTATCGTACTACCTGCCCACCACTCATTGCGTGCTTTTGTCGTGGTTAGACTTTGTATGTTGATATCTTGATCCTATGTCGGCCAATGAGCAGTGTATTACATCTGCGAAGCAAATGTTGTCTGTTAGGACAATATTGTGCGAATATTATCGCTGTCCTAACATCATATTCATACTTTATTATTACCTCATGTAAATTATCATGTAGCGGAGGCACCCCGTTGCACAGTAAGTACGTTTAATATATCAAAAATGACCAACGTCTACACTCTTCGGCGGGGCCTACACATCCCTACCGGATAGACATCAGTTATTGGATTCTCTGGGAGCCATTTAGTCCAGGGCCTCCCAATCATCGATGACAGGGGTTAATGCTCATGCGAGAGGCCGAGCTCAGTGGTACCGGAGTTCCTGAGTGGTACGACTAATGTGTCACACATTTTCTAACGACCTTGGGTTGATCTTTCGGGGGATCGAACGGTCTATCACTGGATTGGAACGGCGATGCTTATACAAGGTATCAGGCGGCAACTCCATGTTCAAGTTATCGGGGCTACACCCTTACTGGATATATCCTTTCTTTAATGTCTTTTTCATTTAAGCTATTACAGCGTTGCTCACCACCCTACCTCGTCGACGTGTTTAGCGTACATATTTCCTCACATTGGAGTTATTATTCACCTAAAGCCGGTCCCTATTTGTTGATAGTTGTTGTTACTAAAGTACTTTGGTGACAATTCTGAATTGATGACTATATCATCTTATTCACTACTATTGCTGACACGCATTGTTCCTTCTTTCTGCTCGTGCGTCCTACTATTGACGCTCGCATCATTGTCGGCTCACCGAAAAGATACATGTGGGTTGCATTCACCTTGTGCGATAAGTGGTTCTTTGGTCTGTCGGCGACAGCAACGGTGGACCTGCGACGCTTAGATACTTGAATATTGCAGTCCGCTATTTCATAAAAGATCATGAAGAAGAGGCAAACATTTTACGTTTATTTTCGATGCAAATATTGCCTGGCATACTTGCTTTCGTGCATGCTTTTCTTGGTCATCACTGTTTCAAGTTCACCATGCAAAGTATTCTTGGAAGCCTGAATTCCGAAGCCAGAACGCCTGACAATGCTCCTCAGCAGAAAACACTCATTTTCGATGCGGCGGTAAATAGCGTCGCAGATTTACAAAGGTGTCTTCGATGTCTAGCTTATGCTTTCTAAATTCTTCTGCACGATTGTTGCTAGAGTATTTGCCATATCCATACTTCAGGACGTGTTCAAACGTCACGGCAAAAACTTCTGTATGCCTTTTTACACTCGGTTGTGGGATCTTGTCGATAAAATAACACTTGTGCTGCAGCTGGAGGTCGTCCGGACATACTTTGTTGCATGTATCACCGTCATTTCGTTCATAAATTTGAATACCCTTGCTTCTAAGGCAAATGATGCAATACATCCAGGCCTTACACGTGTTAAGCTTACTTGCAGCTTCGGTATATTTTCAGAATTTTTACGTGATGACAGGGCCTTTGTGGTTTAGTCAAGATACGAGACGACCGGGTTTCCCATCAACTGCTACCATATTACCATCCTGATGAAGGCTTCAGCGAGGATATCGTTCACCTCAAATTTAGAGGTCACCATCACGTACATTATAACAAAGCTGCAAGCAATGTTTACAACTACTTTACACAGGGAAAGAGATTGGTTCTGTAACGCTCTATGTCAGGTTTTAAGCTCTACTCAAGTACAACTGTTCATGAACTTGCTACTAGCCTAACATTGAAGACCGCAAGGGTCACGATTGTCCATATTGCAAGGTAAGTGATCAGTTATATATGATACTGCCAAAAAGAATTCTACGCCTTACGAATAGATGCGGTGCGAAACGATATGCGTGCAATCGGAATTTGCTCCCGCCGAGGCGCAAAATGATCGAGCACTACTTAGTATGCGTCCTCTACTGCTGCTTTTCGTTGATTCGATCTTGCTTGTTCACGGTCATCAAATTGACTAATTAATGGAGCAACAAACCTTTGCATCAAACTCCATCCAAAAAAGGCATAGCTATCAAAACGTCAAGACACGCAGAGCGGGGGGAGAAGAGCGTATACAAACCTCTTTATCGAGAATAGTTTGAACAAGTTTGCGTTTCAACTGCACCGAACTTTAAGGGCAGATTCGATTCTTTACACGTCAATCATGCGTCTACCTGTATCGGATTCAAATTAAACTGTAGTTAAGGATTTAAGCACTGAGAAAGATTCGCAGAATTCTTCCCGTCTCTGTCACAAAGAAAGCATACGTCGTATCTCATCGAGTCGATATCCATCTCAATAGATGCCAAAATGAACACAAGGTCAGGGATTAATAAAAGATAGACAAATATGTCTATTTTTTTGATTCCCGACCTCGTGCTCATTCTAGCATCTGCATCAACGCAGAAAGATGGGACACGTTACTTTGTTTTATGCAATCGTAGGTGTTCCTCAAAGTATTTTCTCCGTACGCATCGATACGAATCGATCGCTAGGTCACTTGAAGAATACGATCAAGACAGAAAAACCAAGTATGATCCACTGCGATGTCATTGACATGCAGCTCTTTCTGACGAAAAGAGATGGTGGTCATGGTGCGTGGATGACGGAAGAAGTGGTGCAGCAGGGCGTTACTGAAACTAAGGAGTTGCACCGGCTGAACACTATAACAGCGCGACTGAGCTCGTGCGGTTTGTCGGAGCAGGACGTGCAAACTCAAAGTACGGCAAATTCTCTTGTTCACGTCCTGGTGGTGGTTTCAAAGAGATGCTGGCCACCTGTAGGCTGTGTCACTGTCGGCGTCACGCAATACATGAGAGTGAATCCCCCACGATTGGTTGCGTTTTGGAACGCGTTAAGAGCGACGTCTACCAAGATCGTCGCTAACGATGTGATTGTGTTACCAGAAGGAACAAATAATTTTATTTTTTCGAGGCGCACCTCTCGCGTATACGTTCGTCATTGCTATTTGCAGCTATGGAAAGCTTGCTCGGATACCGTTAATCGTGCAGCTACAACTAAACATAACGTTGTGGTTATCGGCAATGAAGGAATCGGCAAAACACATTTCGGATTCTTCGTCCTGTTGTGTCTTGCGCGCCGTGGAGCGACGGTGGTGTATGAGAAGTACAGAGCCAGTGGGCGCTACCTATTCTCTAATGATATGGTGATTGATGGATTGGGGTCGGATTTTGATGACGTTCTTGAGCAGCCGAATACGTTTTACGTTGTGAATGACGTCAAGCCAGCACAATGTGAAGCGAAGACAATTCTCATCTCGTCGCCGTGCGGGTCTGTTTGGTATGACTTTTACAAGAGAGATTGCGCGAGGTTTTACATGCCAGTTTGGACGAAGCAGGAGATCTTCAACTGTCGTGAGCTGATATTATCGGGCACGACGGAAGACACTGTGGAGGAACGCTATCGTCGGTGGGGCGGCAATGCACGCTATGTCTTGTGCACCGTCAGGCTGCAAAGTTCACAGGATTTTTTCGACATGTCGATAAATGATTTCAGCTTAAATTCGTTAGTCGAGGCGAGTGACGAATCGGGGGGAATTGAAAATTTGATTTTTCTGCTGCTGCACTATCGTGTCAACGACGACTTTTCCAAGGACGGATTTGTCTTTGCGTCGGATCACGTGTGCGAAAAGGTTTATAAGAAGCTGCTTTGGCAAAATAGGGGAGATCTAATGAATATTTTTGCTTCTTCTCGTCGTAGCAGTGGCGATCATGCGGTGCTCTATGAATCATTGGATGATGCATAGCATAGTAATATTGCCTCGTAGTGGTGCATTTCGATTTTGACAACGTGGGAAGGACGGAAAGATTTCGCTGCAGATAGAGACGGAAGGGAGAGCAAGATTAAATGAGATGTTGTTAATGACGAAAACGATGTTGCGATGGAAGACTGCACAACGCTGGGCTTTGAAAAATGCGCTTACGACCACAAAGTCGCTTGATTGAGTGCCTGCTTGAGGATTAGATGCAAGGAGTTCAGATAGTTGTCTGAGTGTGAGGTGGAAGTAGTCATGGTTGGATAAGAGTTCGGGAGATGTTGAATGTTTATACCTGTTCTGCATTCAACCCATTTATACCTTCCGGGACGATGCAAATCGAAATGGTGGAGTCTTATCCTATTTCTAACCATTTCAGTATATCTGTCACAGTGGTGGCCATGTGGCCTCATCTGTTGCCGAAACGATAAGGTGTCCACTCCGAACTCGTTAATGCATGTGCGGCAAGCCTCAATTAACCGATGTTGACATGTCCGATAGATAGCCAAGTGAAACGACCATTTACAGGTCATTTGTGTGTTCAAGCACACTAACAGACAGAATGAATTTGACTTTTTTGGATCCGGTTGAAAGCTCTGCTGTACCGTGACGATGTGATCTCGTACTGTTGTCGTCATTTGCATGATGGCACCGTCGCACGTCTATTTGCATGTGAAAGGTTTGGGTTGCTTTATCTGACAGAAACCATACGGGATTCTCGTTTACCATCGTTAGTTTTCGATGAAAAAAAGGCTTCAGAAAGAAATGGATACAGGTGAGAAAGGACAGCTTATGTAGGTGCTTTGTAAATCGACGGTAAAGATCAATCCGACTCGACACCATTTTGCGTACGAGAGGATTTTAAAATGCATTGTCTAACCAAATGAGCAGAAGCAACACTGATTGGCAAAATCTAAGCATTCTCGCGCCAGTTGAAAAGTACATTATGGTCTAGTAAACATTATTATTCTGGTTGTCGCATTTAAAATGCGTTACAAAACGGTGGATCCCTGCAATGCCCCCGTCTTGGCATTTCTAGTTGTCCGGTGTCGCAATGTATTACACCTTTTAGTGCGGCAGCGCAAAAGACAGACGTCTTGACCATCATCAGGCCCTCCGCTCTTGCCCTTCGCAGTAGTCGACGAGCGGACGGCACGCTGTCATTTGTCGACGGCGACCAGGATCTTGATCTGATAGTGAATTGATCATGAAATAGATTCTCTAGTGTGTGGGTTGTCGCGGTCACTAAGAGCCTGAACTTGTTGCGACTGTCTACTGTCCATCCCAACGCCAGCTACAAAGTCTGATCCATAGTTCTACTCTCGATTGTGGAAAGCTCAGCTTGCGCGTGTGACACCATCGGCGAGTACCAATCTTTTTTTAGTGCGGCAAGCTGCAGGTTGCTAATTAGTGGTACAGTTGGATCTGGTGAGAACAAAATCAAACAGAGGCGACAGTCGATGCATAATGATGCCTGATAGAGATCATGTAGAATGCCGAAGTATTCGACAATGAACTTGTGGGTAGGACTCGGCAAGGTAAGGCTGAATATTTATAAGTTATAGTTTTTGTTCAATATTTAACGAACCACTACATTTAACGCGTTGTTCTGTGGCATTTACCCCACTTTGCCCCTTTAGCTGGGAAATTACCCGGTACACAAGAGTTGGAATGATTAATGGAATTGGTGGCGCTGCAGCTGTATTCGTGATGTGAAGATCCATCGCCGGCCTGTCAAAAAAGTTTGAGTGGGTGGAATGGTGCGGGATCAAGTTAAATGCCACGTGGTAAAGCGAGCGCAATGCACTCCAGCAGTGTTTATCAGGGCTCGGATTCGGTCTCAAATACCACATCAGTAAAATTTGTAGTACAGCAACTGACTACACCTGTAACGGGGTGACACGACGGTTATTGAACCGGTTATGTTGTGTGCCACACCAAGTATAGATCGATGGATCTGAGTGGCACAGTCTTGGTACCACGTACTTACGGTAATACCACACCTGATCGGTTAGGGGTGAGGGACAAGACTTTTGTCATGGGAGGGCCCTGTAATATTTAGTCAGACAAGGTTTGACGGTTTTATTACAGTAGTTAAAGAATCGATAAAGTTCATTTCCCACTTTGAACCGTTGGACACAAGAGCCTAGTCAAGGCGTTTCGTGTTGCTAAAAGAGCACTAGCCTCGTAAATTCGATTACTTTGTTTAACTAGTACTCTCTAGTTATTGTGTGAGTCCGTCGATCGTGATCACTTTGGGACCGAGATTGTTAAGCTTGTACGCTTGAACGACTGCACGTCGTTGTAAGTTTGTAGTGACTTAAAGACTTTTTAAGTCCAGGACTTCCTCTTTTAAGGGGCTAAGTAGCTCCGCTGCAGTACCCATCAATAAATTTTCTCGTCCCTTTTTTGTCACACCTCGAGCTGCTGGACGACAAATTGGACGTCATTGACGCCGGACTGCACGATTGCGGCTGCCGATTGCACTCGATTTTCGGTACTTTGAGGACACCGGCGCATATCCTCGAGCGCAGTCACATAATCATGATAAACAAGAGCGACGACAATGACTTTTAAGTGCACGCATATGTGCCTGGCAAAGCTGTTGACGCGCTCAGATTGTGTCGGTGTCTCCAGCTTCCCGCAGTAGTCCTTTTTACTTTTGTTGGAGGAATGCTAGCGAGGCTTTACAGTCACCCCACCATGACCATACATTAATGATCCCAGTAGACTTCAAAGCGCCGATTGACCAATGTTTGTCGATCTCATCGCCCGTGGGGTGTTCAAAGCGAAAAGGATGAACTGTAGATGCCAATGGTGAAGGACTTTTGCAAATCGTTCTGTATCTTTGGCTCGAGTCGAGCTCGACGGCATAGCGGTTTTGCAACGTAGTGTGACTAGGATACACCACGTGCGTGTGCTCCACACATTTTGTCGGGTTTGGTACTTAAGTGTAACGGGGTAGGCCGTTACATGATATTGAAAACAAACGGTGTCAAGATAGATATTGTCTAGCATGACAATATTCCAACACTATCTGAGATTGAAAATGTCGAAGGAATGTTATCCTCCTTCGATAGTATTCATGTGCTGCTCCAAGATTAGTTGATATACGACACACCAACCATAGATTGCCACCAATCGCTGCTAGACGCGCGCAATTAGTGGTGAGAAGGTTGTCGTCATTTGACGACGTGGTTTAATTGAGTTAGATAAAGAGTACAGTTCTAATGATAGCTTAAATACATTAAATCCAGTTCTCTTTTACCCTTTACTCAACATAGTCGTTAAGTAGATTAGCTTCCTCTGCACGTATTAGTGTACGTGAAGTTTTGTGGCACCTCGAACAAAGGGTGCCCCGTTACACCTGGTAGCAATTTGTAGTCCGTCCAACAAGTACCTAGTGTCCGTCTAACATGAACATATTGGACGTAGAAGACGACAGCTTTCACGTCACACGTGAAGGCTACTCCCATCTGAGTGACTCAGAGTGGGAGGTAGTCGGCCGCATGAGTGTGCTTATGGGCGAACCCGCCATTATTGATATGTTGGGGTCTCTAAGCATAGACCAGCAACATGCTGCTATCAACAAGTTCCTACAAGGGAAACTTGCCGTCGAAAGACAGAAGATAGTCTTGCTACAGCAGCAAGGCTCTCATCAGTCGATGGGTGGGCCGACGCACACACGTCGACCCGAAACCTTGAAGATCGATATCTCAAGGTAAAAAGGAATCGATGCGATTCCCTTTTGAGGTGGTTCGTCGAGTTAGACGACGCCATCAGGGCCCGTCACATCGAGGGTGACGACATGCAAGTCACCTTCGCCCTGTCTAATTTGACTGGACGAGCAAAGATTTGGGACTTAGGGATCAAGCTTCACGACCCAAACGTGTTTAAGTCGTTGGAGATCTTGAAGCCTCGTCTCAAAGAGACGTTTGAGCCGCCGAGAGCCGCCTTCAGAGCACGCTCTGCACTCTTGAGGCTAAAGCAAGGTAAGTGTGACATGCACGATTACGTACAGCACCTGCGCTACCTTGCGAGTAGCGTCACGGAAAACCCTGTTGATGAGCACACACTCATCAACGTGTTCATCTTCGGCCTTGTGGATGGTCCGGTGAAGACCTACATGCTCCAATAGGACTTCCATACGCTGAAACTGGCGATAGCGTAGGCGGAGCAAGAAGACTTCAGCCTGAGACATTTTCAGGCTAACTCGTTAAACTATCTTCCGACGAGACGACAGGAAACAGGAGGTCCCGAACCTATGGACCTTTGTTACATCGAGGGCGAGAACTCTCGCTCTCTGAGTCACAAGCGAACGGCAAGATGCCATCGCTTTCAGAAGATTGGACACTACGCTCATGAGTGTAGTGTCCCGAGCACCGCAACACGTCCAAAGACAGGACGTGATGACCACCGTTGGTCAAGGAAAGGTCCAAGGCGTGGGTCCAACCATGTCGCCTAGTCGCGACAGCAAGTCTGACCGTCAAAAAGTGGTCAGGGTCAGTAGGGGCGGAGCACCCTGCTGATCTAGCAACGTCAATAGAATTTGCAGGACTCTTGACGAAGGTTGCTCCCAACACACAGTCGCTGTGTGTTACTGCCCCTAGTGATGAGGAGTCCCTCATCACTTTGAAGATCGAAGAGACAAGTGGAATGTCATTTCTCGCCCTAGTTGACTGTGGGGCGTCGAACAGTTTTACACGACGCCAGTCGCTAGAGGATAGTAGTCTCACCTATGTTGAGCGAGAATTCCCTCCAACGAGTATAACGGTGTGCCTCGCTACAGGCGCAATCGTAACAGTGAACAAACGTGTAGTGGGAATCCACTACGTGATAGAACGAAAGCAGTACGATGATGACTTTATCGTATTCGATTTGGATGAAATTTTTTGATGTCATCCTCGGTCTGCCACGGCTTAGAACATACTAGTCATGGCTTATCTGGCAGCATCGATACGTGAAGATGCCTGCCGTTTGCTCATCGGATT